GTTCCTGTTTCCTTCCCCGCCTCTGACCCGCCATGTGCTGCCCGGTGTGGGGCCTCCCTCCCGCAGCCCGGCACCAGCTCCGCACCAACCAACCAAAGGGCGTCCCCCTGGACAGCTGCTGTTGGCCAATGACTTCAGCTGCCCAGGCGGGAGGGGGGCGCCTCGGCGGGCAGGACAGAGCCCCCCTCCCTGACGTGCGAGCAGGTAGAGGTCTGGGCCAGGCAAGCATCCCTTTCGCCAACACCAAGCGCAGGTGACGCTGGGACTCCGGCCCCTGCCAGGACACGGGCGCGCCCAGTCCTCCGGGTCTGCTGCTGCTGCTTCCCGAGGAGACCGGCCTGACCCCGGCCTGACCCCGGGCTGGAGAGCAGACACAGCGCCGGCTCGCACGGCATCGGCCAATGACAGCAATACCGTGAGGACGGCCGTGGCTTACGGTGTCTGGAGCAAGCAGGACAGACAGACTGCCGTCTTTATCTCCCTGGTTCCCGACCCGGGGGCTCCTGAGCTGCGTCCCACTCCCAGGGACTCGGAGTTCCCTGACCCTGTGGCCTGGACCCCCGGAGGCTGGGAAGCTCCAGGAGGCCCTATGCGGCAGCACACCTGAGAGCCACCGCACTGGACCACACGACGGTCACCTGCCGAGCTGCGAGCCACAGCAAGTGCAGGTCACAGAAGCTGGCAGAGCAGGCTTCTGCAGAGTCCCCAATGTCCAGGGCTCCCAGTCCCCTCTGACGGCACGCCACCACTGTGGGTGGCTGAGGCCCAGAAACCAGGGTTAACTAGCTCCAGACACCGCACGGGACTGACCCACTCACTGCTGTTCACTGACCGGTGGGCCTGCTCTGCTGAAGGCTTCCTGCTCCACCTCAGGCTAACCCTGTGTGGGCTTTAGGGGCTCAAAAGCCCCTGAAACGACATGCAAAACCTGGGAAGAGTGTGCGGTAGGTGCGTCTACACACATATTTTTTTTTGGGGGGGGGGTCCTATATATTAAAAGCCCAATATGCTAAGTGTTTGACCATTTGTTTGATTGTTTCACCAGTCGCTATGACGTGCACTAACCACCAGGGGGCAGATGCTGTGACTGGTAGGTTAGCTTGCTGCTGGGGTCTGGCCAATCAGGACTGGGTGAGATGGGCTGAGCACGCCCTGGAGCCCTCCCGTGGTTCCTCCCCGGACCCGATCATACACTGGTGGGGTCCCTTGGCCTGGCCTGCACCCTCTCGCAATCCAGGACCCTTCGGGGAATGTCAAAGAGCTGGTTTCAGCCCAATCCCCGCAGGCCAGGCCAAGGAACCCCACTGGTGCACGAATCTGCACCGAGCCTCTAGTAATTTATAACTTCCATCAGCATTCAAAGGACTCTGGACCCTGAGAAGTCCGGAAGCGCTGTGCACTCTACCTTGTCGTGGAAGCTTATGTGAATGAAGTCCCTGTGCTGGAGCCCTGTCATCCGCAGGATGGAGCCAAAATGGCAGTGGAGCTGATCGCCTCCAACCACGTCATACTCTGTTGTCCTGCTTCTGCAACTGAAAACACAGACAACCTGAGCCACTCCCCAAGGGGTCTCAACCGGTCTTGTTTTTCGAGCAAACTCGAGGACCAAAGTTTACAATTTTCAGGACTGTTTGGCGAACGTAGAATGGCCCTCAGGAAGTAATATATTTCTGCCTAGCCAGCATGGCTCAGTGGTTGAGTGTCAACCTGTGAACCAGGAGATCACGATTCGATTCTGGGTCAGGGCACATGCCTGGGTTTCAGGCTCGATCCCCAGTGTGGGGCGTGCAGGAGGCAACCGATCCATGATTCTCTCTCATCATTGATAATTCTATCTCCCTCTCTCTTCCTCTCTAAAATCAATAAAAATATATTTTAAAAAATGTCATTGGGACAATTGGAAAAATCTGAATACAAGTTGTAAATGAGCTAATGATGAATGATAAATTTTCTGAGTTTTATCACTGCATTAAAGTTACATAAAAGAATGCTCTTGTGCCAAAACCGGTTTGGCTCAGTGGATAGAGCGTCGGCCTGTGGACTGACGGGTCCCAGGTTCGGTTCCCGTCAGGGGCATGTACCTGGGTTGTGGGCACATCTCCAGCGGGAGATGTGCTGGAGGCAGCTGATCAATGTTTCTCTCTCATTGATGTTTCTAACTCTCTATCTCTCTCCCTTCCTCTCTGTAAAAAATCAATAAAATATATTAAAAAAAAAAAAAGAATGCTCTTGTTCTTAGGAAATCCAGGCTGAAGTACCTGGAGATGAAGGGGCGTGGTGTCTGCAACTGTATCTCCAGTGCTCAGGGGAACTATGCAGACAGAGCCACAGCACACGTGACAAAAATGAGTGCAACTGGTGCCTCCCATCACGGGCCCGGGAACCCAGTGCTGCTCTTGCAGTTTTCAAAGATTTCAAAACAGAAAGCTTTTTTAGAGGGAAGGAAAGTTATTTTTAGAAAACAACGTATGGGAGCCTCAGTCAGCGACATCGAGGAGGATGGAGGCCACCCCTGCCGACCTACCAGTCACCCCCGATCCTGCACAGCCCCGTGAACGGGTTTCTGTAAATGTAGAGGGGCCAGCCGTAGGCAGCGGCTGCGATCGGCATGTAATGGCGGCAGTTCTCCAGCTCTGCGTCCAGGTCATCCTCCTACAGGAGGAGAGAGCCAGCTGTTGGTTTAGGGGCCCCATTCCAGAGGTCCACACACTGACACCTCCCTTCCTCGCGAGGCCGTCCACAGGGAGAACAGCCCTTAAATGCGGCCGGAGCCGGACCCTCACTTTGTAGGAAGACAGCAAGCGCAGTGCAGCGGACAGCAAAGCCCCTGGGGCCCTTCCTGGTGCCGGTGCAAGGGGCCATCGACTTCCTGCCCGATGCAGGCGAAGACCCGCGGAGTTTCACGCCACTGGGACCAACCAGCTGAGAACTAGGTGCCGGATGAGGTGCCGAGAAACCACGTGTTTACGTGGGAAGTTCTCTTTCAAAAGCATCAAATCCGCGGCAGGAAAACTCTCATCAGGCAAAGCTGAACGGCTCCTGCCCCCAGGCCCAGAGCAGAGGGCAGCCCGTAACCAGGGGGCCAGGCCCCACCCAGGAGGAATGTTTGCGATGCAGGCTCACGGCCAGCTTCCCAGGAGAGAATGACTCCAGATGACGGGACGCAGGGGACGCAGGGGCCGGGAATGGCTCCCGCTGCCTGCCTCCCGGTGACAAGCTGCCGCACCTGACAGGTGCCAAGTCACAAGCAGCACAAGGCACAGGTCTGACTCCCAGCCAACGGCTGGGACGGCTGCTGGCTGGGTTTCTGTGTGTTTGTTTTCTTTTAAAAAGATTTACCAATCGGTGTCAGTGTCATAACTACCACCCGACAGAGGCGTGGGCTCACCTGGGAGGGCCCTGGGGAATGGCTGACCACCTCCGTCGGCGCCTGGTTTCTCCTGATCCTGTCCTGCTGCTGGTGGAGGAGGGTGAGGCCCGCCACGAGGTCACTGGGCACCAGGTCTGTGTCCTGGACGGGAGCCACAGGGCCTGTCAGAGAGCTCAGCAGGATGGCCTGTGAGTTCCCCACACCCAGTTCACACGGTCCCCGCGCACACACACAGCACAGTCACATGTACAAAGGTGCTTTAGAGAGTGCTTCCTCTCGGGACTCCTCCTATATGTGAGCTCAGTGTGTTTTCCTCCTGCCCTCGGACAACTCTACTGGAGAACATAAGTAGCGTGTGGTTCTCTCTCCGTTTTAAAATGTCTCTTCAAGTGACTTTGCTATTTTTAATCTACTTCCCATCGTTGATGAGGGGGAGTCAGTGGGTGGTCTGCCACTTTTGCAGTGACGGCCAATGTTAGCCGGGGTTAAACGCTCAAAGCTGAAGGTGCTGCTTTTGTGGCAGGGCCGTGCAGTGACGGCCAATGTTAGCCGGGGTCAAAGCTGAAGGTGCTGCTTTTGTGGCAGGGCCGCGGGAGGGGTGTATGCGACTGGACTGACACCTCCCAGGTACGGCGGCCTCAGGAAGAGCCGTCCGTCCACCGGGGAAGCAGCAGAGTGGTCTAAGCCCGCCCTTCCCCGAGGGCCGGGAGCAGGAGGGACCCACCAGGCGCTGGCCCCTCAGCTCTCAGCTCTGCCCGTGACACAGGCACCGCCTCCTCCAGGAGACCTGATCCTCTCCTTCCTCCCTCCACCTGTCTCAGACGAGGCTGGAGCACTCCTCTCAGATACTGAGGGGACACACTTCTGATCCCCACACAGAGGCCGCTGCTGGGTACAGGCCCAGCCTGGACAGGGCCGTCAGCACACGGAGAGCCGAGAAAAGGCCCCAGGCGTGCGATGTCAGGAGAACTCTCCCTGACGTGGTCTCAGGAGTGAACCTAAGAGCAGCTTATCGGATCTTTTTATGAAAAGACACTCATTAAGTGTGAAAGCAAAACGAACATATCCAAGACACTGAGAAACCACTCCCGGGTGGTGACGCCCTTCCTTTGGAAGCAGAAAAACCGATGTTTGTACCACGCTGTACAGAGCGAGAAGCCAGTGTCCCCTGGTGTCTGCTCATACCAGCTGGTTGAGGGGGTGAAAAGCAATTGGCAAATCATTTGCAACAAGTAAAGGCCCTTAAAAAGGTGTTTAGTTCATTAAAAACTAATTCAAAATCTTGACAGAGTCACGAACAGTTGTCAACACCAGGAGCGCTGACCGGAGGCAGGTCTGCACACGCAGGGCCCCGGTTAGTGCCGAGTGCTCTGTCCTCGCTCCAGGGAGCCGTGCCCTCCCCCCCCCATCGCCTCCAGTGCCCATTTATGTGTGTGCGGGGTGGGGGGCCCCGGTGCAGAGCACCCGTCCTAACGTCAGCAGCACCGGCTCCCGGAGGCCTGGCGAGCCCGCGGCTTACGGAGAAGTAGGTGGAGAAGAGCTCCGCGGTGCTGGAGAAGGCCATGTGCGCCTGGTCGTCTCGCTCCACGCAGCAGCACAGCAGCTTCATCCTCTTTTCCCACACGCTCGTCGCTGCTGTCCTGAGGCCCCCAACGAACTGGCTGGCCTCGGGGTTGAACGCGAGGGAGGGGCCCGCAGACGAGTACCGGACCGCCTTCCCGCCCAGCGGGTCGAAGACAACCACGATGATGACCACCGTGAAGCCGATGATAACCCAGCTGAAAACAGAGAGGACAGGCGATGAGGCCCCGGCAGCCCGGCCAGAGCCTGCTGAGGGAGCCACTTGTTTCCCCGGGGAAGTTCCTGCCGAGGCCCAGGAAGATCAGAGCCGACAGTGAAGATCAGAGGAAAAAGGGGCTGCTGTGGGCAGAGGTGCAGCCCCAACCAGGACCCGCCCTTACTCCTCAGGGCCTCAGGGTTCTTCTCGGTAAAACCAAAAGAATTTTGCCAAAGCGCCGCCCTGACAGGCCTTTTGTTCGGTGTTTAAATAGCTGCAGGCTGTCCCCATGCACAAGGCTCTGGTTCACAACGGCCTCTACGGGAGACGGCCCTGAGGGGCTCTGCTGCCCCTGGTGGCGAGGCCAGGAAAGGCACGGTCAGCATGGCTGTCCACTTCCTTATTTATAACACAAGGGATGAAGCAAGATCCCTTCAAACCATTGTTAGCCTGGGAAATGCAACAGTCTTATTCGAGTGCATTACACTCTGGGTAGTGTATTTCTTCTCATCCTGCCTTTAGTGCCTGCTCTTGTTTTGGCCTTCAGACTCTCTTCCTTCTTGCATGAGAAGGGAGGGAATAGAAAAATGAGAACCGGTAAGAAAGAAAACTCCATCAATAGACGCATAAGCCCGGCTGGTGTGGCTCAGGGGTTGAGCGTTGACTTATGAACCAGGAGGTCATGGTTCGATTCCCAAGCAGGGCCCATGCCCGGGTTGCCGGCACATACCCAGTGTAGGGCACATACCCAGGGTGGGGCACATACCCAGTGTAGGGCACATACCCAGGGTGGGCCACATACCCAGGGTGGGGCATGCAGGAGGCAGCCAACCATGGATGCTTCTCTCTCTCTCCCTTCATCTCTGAAATAAATAAAAATCGATTTTAAAACTGTATAATGGAAGATGAGCTGTTTCTCGTGTATACACAGGTGCCTCTGAATGTTTGCCATTTCCTCACGGTCGTTTCTAACCGTTCGGGAGCCTGAGTGACGCCGGGCTGGCTGCAGTCACTCAGGAAAGTCTGCTGACCTGCATCTCACACGCACTGTGACCAGAAGCTGAAGATGACAGGAGCGCTCACCTGACGACGACGGTTGCGATGATGGCACTCACCACTATCCTGTCGCACTGAGTGCTCTCTGCGACCCACATGGCCCCCAGGGCGGCCCAGACGATCTCGGGCAGAAAGAGCGCCAGGCGGATGTACAGCAGCGTGGACATGGACTTCCGTGGCCCCGGGTTGCAAATGGTTCCTGAGACAGAAGACACTCCCGCTGGTCACCTGCTTCCTCGGAGACGCAGGGCGTCCTGGCTACAGCAGCACAGGCGGCAGGGCGTCCACTGCGCGCACCCACCTGCTGTTTCTATTCATAACTGATCAATGCCTGAGACTGAGGGCACGGGACCACGTAAGGGGGGGACGTGACCACGTAAGGGGGGGACGGGACAGGCAGAGGCAGCCTCAGATTCGCTTCTGAGGCTCACCAGGGTTTAAGAACGCTTCGGGGTCCTAACCAGGGTCCAAATTGGGATACTTCTGAGAGCAGAAGGTGCTGCTGATACTTATGCTGGGACGAGTGTAAACAGAACGATTCCAAGGCAAACACAGCTAAGCGGTCCCCGCGTTCTGACAGACAAGAAACAGCTGCACCTGTACCACCTCTCGGAGCCTCCGTGGCCACAGGCACCATCGGTGCTTTATTCTTTATCAAGATGACTGTGAGAAGCCGCCAGCCCAGCTACAAATGACAAACCTGAGGCTCTGAGCTTAGACGCTACTTTCTAAACTGTAACCCGTGACTATGACCCTGGCTCTCCGCCCCACTTCTGGGAAGAAGGAATTCCGATGTTAGAGACCACGTAGAGAAGCCTGGCATTTGGACACATTTTTACTGCGTTTGTGAAACACATCCAAGCATCAATAGAGGCCTGCGTGCATCATCAATCCTCTCCCTTTGAGAAAATGTTACGATAAACACTAATTTAAGTGCCATCAAAATACCATATGATTAAAACAAATACAATAAATCTAAGTTCTAAAGAATGATTTGGTAAGGAAATCATTTTTAAAATCCAAAAATTATCTTCCATTAGAATGATTTATGTAGAGTCACATTTTATTTTATTTTATTTTAAATATGTTTTTATTGATTTCCGAGAGGAAGGGAGATGGAGAGAGGGAAAGAAACATCAATGATGACAGAGAATCACTGATCGGCTGCCTCCTGCACGGCCCTACTGGGGATCAAGCCCGCAACCCGGGCCTGTGCCCTGACCAGGAACTGAACCATGACCTCTTGGTTCATCGGTCGATGCTCAACCACTGAACCATACCAGCCGGGCTAAAGTCACCTTTAATATATTAGACACATCGGGTCTCATTTTGGGCACAAAGACCAATCTTACAAGGGAACTGGATCGGCATCTCTCCGAAGGGCGGTGGGTGCAGCATGAAAAACTCAGTTCTGTATTTGGAGCCTGTTACTGTAGAACAATAGCCGATCGCAGAGGAGAAAACAGGAAGTTAGTATCTGTACACACCCACGGCTTCCAGGGAACTGGGGTCCCAAATAAGGGAGTAGAGCCTGACACCCAGCAGCCCCAGATCTGCAAGGCAACCTGTGGCTGCTGCGCGAATAAAACAAATCCATGAACAAGGAACCAGGAAATGGAGTTCTGGTTAAGGTTCCAGAAAAGCAATGAGACACTGAGAAAGTCCCCTGTAGTCATGCCTGCCCAGAAAAACATCTTTATCTCACTGAGATACTTATTTTCTTCTCAAGAAAAAGCATAGCTGGTGTGGCCCTGGCTGCTGCAGAGGCCGCGTGAGGCAATGCCCAGAGAGGCAACGCGTCATGGTTAACAAGAAAGCTACGCCCCTGAATGTTATGTCCCCAGCAGTCTTGGTGAAGTGACCCCATCACCCTTCACAGGCACAAATTTTGGATTCAACACGCTACCCCTGTAGCAGTCTTCCCTGGCACGAGGTGGGCAATGAACTTTGGAGATGCAAACAAGAGATGCTCAATGTCCAAGACTCAAAGTCAGACACAGTGAATGGCAGAACTCTTCCATCGGGGTGTCCTATCAAAAGCGTGGTTGTCAAGCCTGGCCAGTGTGGCTCAGTGGTTGAGCATCAACCCATGAACCAGGTCACGGTTCGATTCCTGGTCAGGGCACATGTCTGGGTTGTGGGCTCCATCCGCAATGGGGGGGCGTGCAGGAGGCAGCTGATTAATGATTCTCTCTCATCATCGATGTTTCTATCTCTCTCTCCCTCTCCCTTCCTGTCTGAAATCAATAAAAATACATTAAAAATACGTAGACCTAAACTTGACAATTTGTAAAACACCTGCTTTTGTGGAGGTAATGCAGGTAAAGGTACAAAGCGCAAACAGTTCCAATAGGTATAAAGCACCTTCCTCCACCGCTGGCCCGATGTCAGTGAACTTCCTGAAAGTGAACCAGGGACTTGCGTAGCCTCCCAGAACCCGCAGGTGAACAAGACATGAGTGTATCCACCCGCGTCAGGAAACAGCAGCAAACACACTGTATGCGGGAAACGTATTTATATGCTCTACCAGTGTAGTAGAGCGCGGACACATATTAATACATTTTTTATAGACTAGCGGTAGAATGCGGGTAACGTATAAATACGTAAGCTAAAGTTATCGTAATTTTACTGAATGTTACCATTTGCGCAAAAAATTAGCAAAAATGGCCCACGCCACCTGTTAGCGCACGATAAAAACTACCCACAAACAATGTGTTAACGCAACGTCCTGTCCCTTAGCAGAGCGGAGACTTCCCTTATGTCCGAGCTGTTCTCAGCCTTCCCATGAGGTGCACAGCAGACGCACAGGCACGGACTACCCTTTACCTGCCCAGGGGCCCCGCCAGGCAGAGTGTGTCCGACCTTGCGTCCCTGTGAACGACCTGCAGTGACCATCCCCACAGGCATCTGCGCCTTTACGTACAGGAAGGAGCAGACACACACACAGCCAACTGGGTTTCCAAGAGGTTCAGCCAAATGACATCCCACCAGCACAATGAGCTGCAGGCCTCGCCCACGCCAGGCTTTATCCACGCGAACTTTTCTTCTGTGATGGAGGCTCAACGATGTCAGAGTTATTGATGTTTACTTAACTGTTCATGATCGTTGCCCATGTTCCTACCAACTACTGGTCTTTTCCTTATTTGTCACAGAAGCGCTGATAATGAACGAGTCTGGCTCTGTCTCATATTTTATCCATCTGTCCTTTGTTGTTGTTTGTTTTTGTTTTTATTGATTTTTTTACAGAGAGGAATAGAGAGTGAGAAACATCGATCAGCTGCCTCCTGCACCAAGGTACATGCCCTTGACCAGAATTGAACCTGGGACCCTTCAGTCCACAGGCCAAAGCTCTATCCACTGAGCCAAACCAGTCAGGGCTCATTTGTCCTTTTTTTAAACTTTCTGTGTGGTATGTTTCACTAAAGTTACATATTTATACTACGGCACATGATGGTAATACTCTGGAACAAATTGGCAACTGAACTAGCATGTTTGTGCTGCGGACGGGCATCGTGCGCCCTGCCCTCCCGACCGCGCTGCCTCCCCACCGCGCTGTCCTTCCTGGGTGTTGGCTCATGCCTGGCCTGACCGCAGAAGGAATGCAGCGGCTCAGCCATGCACAGCATCATCCAGTAGGGGTGATAGTCCTAGGGGACAAGGAAGGGCTTCTCCAGAAATTCCCAGTAAACTCCCCAAATGTCATGACCCCCACCAGGTCACATGTCAATTCCTGAAGCAATCACTGACACATGGACATCGTTCCTGAGACGGGCAGAGGGCCAGGCTCTGTGACACGCCCACGGGATGTGCAGGGGCGGGGGGGGGGATGTCCTGAATGAAACTGGGTTTTGTCTGGAGGAGGCTGCTGGGTAGGCGACCCTCCCGTGATGTGACGGGGCCGCTGTGCCCGTGCCTAGGAGGGGCCGGGGGATGTGGCCATTCATCACCGGGGTGTGAATGGGCCCTGACTCCCCAAGAACTACCCGAAGGAAAACATTTCTGGGGAAAAAACTTATATTTATTGCTTCAAATCTGAACTCATGATTACAGCTGTAAGCATGGTGTATTAATCAGTGTGACCTGAACAGAAAGGCAAAGCGGTTAGGTCATGGTATCTGCAATGAGAACAATCTCAACACTTCATCTCCCAAAAACGCTGGCTCGCTGACTTCATGATGCGGCTCGAGCCAGGGCACACACTCACTCAGCTCCCGCTCTCCAGCTCAGCACCGCGGACAGCCCAGACTCAGGACTGACGGCCACAGGACCCGCCCGCTTTGATGCCGACCCCACGCTTCTGTCCTCGGAGCTCTATTGTCTGCCGCCTGGCCCGTCAGCGGGCACACGCCATGCTTCTTGGTCACCCAAACCCCAAGACTTTCCCCATGAAACACGTTGCCACTAACACTTCTCTCTGTCACTCATCATGAACTACCATTTTGTAAGTTTCAATCTATCATTCCAAAATGCCAGTATCTCGCCACTGTTAGCTACGCCTCCCGGTTTCTCCACCATCTGCAATCTGCAGGCCTCCTGATGCAAGCAGAGATAAAACCTGGGCCACGACGCGGCAGCACGCCCCGCCTTCAACGAGCAGTTTTACCGACGCCCCAGAACACCCAGCTCCTGTGACATGAGCAATCGACAGGGAAGGTTCCCACCACCTCAGCCAAGTGTCTGTCCACAGAGAACAGTGACACGGAGGAGGAAGCTATCGTTAAGAATAGATGTGACTCATTAATGAGAGGTCAGACAAATACCCCAATTTAAAATTGGACAAAGCATCTAAATAGCCATTTCTCCAAAAATGGTGACAGATGGCCAATAAGCATCTGAAGACATGCTCACTATCGTTCCTCATCAGGGATGCACATCAACACAGTGAGACACTATGTCACACCCCCCAGGATGGCGATGACCAGGAGGCACAGAGCTCTGGCCGGTGTGGCTCGGTTTGTTGGCGCGTCATCCCATGGACCAACAGGTCACTGGTTCCATTCCCAGGCAGGACACCTGGCCAGGTTTTGGGCTCCATACCCGGGGGGGGCTGAGGGGGGGTCCCAGTAGAGGTACATGAGGGAGGTAACCTATGGACGTTTTCCTCTCTCATTGATGTTTCTCTTTCTCTCAAAATCAACAAAAACTTTTTTTAAAAAAAATAAGTCATGGGGGGGGGGATGAGGACACATTTGTAATACCTTAAATAATAATTAAAAAAAAAAACCACAATAAAACAAAGAAAAGAAAAAAAAAATAAGTCATATAAGAACAAGTGTTGAAAATTGGAACCTTATAAACTGCTGGTGGGAAAGAAAAGTGGTGCAGGTGCTGGGAAAGCAGCCGGCAGTTCTCAGCAGGGGAAACGTTATCGCAGCAATCCCACCCTCGGCACATACCCAGGAGAACTCCCAGTCAACTCCCTGAACGGCATGGCCCCAGCGTCTACACCAAAACATGCTTGTGAGTGTTCACAGCCAAAAAGTGGGAACCAGCCAATGTTGCTGCCTGAGGAATGGATCAGTAAAATGAGGTATATTCATACCAGGTAATAGTCCTCAGCCACGAAAAGGAATGCAGTACTGACACCCCCTATAGCCGGGCGTTTGGCCTGATGGGAACTGAACCTGCGCCTTCCCGTGTACAGGACCGCGCCCCAACCACCCGCGCCCCCCGGCCACACAGGCGGCTTTCTTACCTCTCATGCTGACGCACACGATGGCCAGCACGGTACACACGATCACCGCCAGGAGGACCAGGAGCACGACCATGTAATTGCCGAGCAGCACCCCCCGAGCACAGTCCAGCTTCCCTCGGTACCGGAGATACAAGGCCAGGATGCCAAGCCACCTGTTGAGGCACAAGGAGGGTCAGAGGGCCATCCAAGGAGCTGCTTTGCCACACACGATAGAAAGAAATAAAAGGAGTGGGTCGTTCCTGTAAACGGGGTGAGGTTTGCCCTGAAACACAACGTTCACCAATAAACGATCTACAAAGTCAACCAAGCCTATGACTTTTTAAAATGAGTTTTATACTTCCCCTGCTTACACAACTTCTTTTTCTGTGCCGGCCGAAAGGCATGACGGGCTGTTACAGCCGTAAGCAAGCAAGTATCACGGCTCAGAAACACACAACTGGTAAACCAACACACTGCGTGCGTGCTAAACTATTAACAAGAGAAATGTTACTTCTGTGGATTAACAGGAAACAGATGCGCACACTGTGACCTCCTGTGTCTAATACAAAGGGCCGAGCGGGGAGACAGCAAACCTGCAGAGGCGCTGGCGGTGACCCTGATGAGCGTGAAAGGAGACGCACTGTGGACTCACCAACGTTCTGCCATTCAGTGCACCACAATGCAAGGTGGCACTGGGCGACGCCACAGCAACTGCCATGGGGCTATCGCGGCAGAGGGCACCGTCCGCCGGGCAAGAGCACGGTGCTAGGATTCAGGCCCAAGGATTGCAGGCCCAGTGGAAACTGACGGTCACTTCCCATGCCTTTGTCAGTTCTGGGATGGGATGACCCCGTGTCTAGAAAAGGTGGGAACTGAACTCCGAGGGGCTTAGCTTTGAAAACTATTAAACCACGCAGTAGCAGGTCCCAACGTTTCGCGGTTTTCTTCCTTTCCCCTGAGAATCTACGTTTTTTTAAAAATAACAACGGTATTATTATTATTCCTCGCTCAGACCCTCTGAGAGCAGCCCTCAGGACCCCGATCCACTTCCTCCCGATCCCACGCAGGAAAGACAAGGGAGGCCACGCCAAGCCTGCCTGCTGGCGGCGGCGGCCACGGGGCTCAGGGAGGCGCTGAGCCGTGCAATTGCGCATCTCACGGGGCAGGTGCGCCTCGAGGTGCCGGGCGTGCCCGCGCGGGTGCGGGGAGGATGCAGGGTGCAGGCGGCCGCCTCGGGCCGAGGTAGCAGATCCCCAGGCCATGGCTTTCGGGAGG